TATTTGCTGAAATCTTAATTTCTTTGTGTGTATTTTTTCTTTGATTACATTAAAGTTGTCACTCAGTTGTCTTCTGGCTTATATTGTTTTTGATGAGCTTTTGGATCTGAGGCTTGGTGTCTCATTCATTTTGGAAGAAATTCTCAGTTATTATCTTTTCTAATATTTTTTCTGCCCAATTCTCCTTCTCTTCTATTTTGGGATTCCATTTACAGGTATAATATATTAGTCTGCTTGATATTGGCTTGTGGTTCTTGGATGGTCTCTTCTTCTCTGCCTCTGCCACTCATCTACCTTTTTTTCTCTGTGTTCTAATTTGGATAATTCCTCTTGATTTATTTTGTAATTCATGAACTGTTTTCTTGCCTCTGTAAAATCTACTGATGAGCTTATCAATAATGTGCTTAATTTCTTACAATATTTTTTTACTTTAAGCATTTCCACTTGATTCTTTTTTATGGTTTCCATTTCTCCATTGAAATTCTCCATTTGTTCATGTAAGTTGTTTACTTTTCCCACTGACTTTTCACACCTCGATTATTACTGTTTTAAATTCATCACTTGACAGTTTTAACATATGTTATATCTCTGTTTTAAAAAAATATTTCTTGTAGCTTTTTTACAAAAAATTCTGCAAAAAATATTTCTTGTAGCTATTTTCTACAAAATAACCTTGTAGCTCCAGGTTCTGTTGATTGTTTTGTCTCTTGACAACTTTTTTCTCTTTTTCTTCTGTGTGTACTCTATAATTTTTTGGTTGAAAACTGGATATTGTATAGTCTAGAGATGGAAGTAAAAATGCCTTATCCGTGGTTTCACTCTTCATAGTTTCAGTTACCTGCAGTCGACCACAGACTACAAATGTTAAGTGGATAATTCCAGATATAAACAGTAAGTTTTAAATTGTATGCTGTTCTGAGCAGTGTGATGAAACCTCACACTGTCTAGCTTTTTCCTGCCTGGAAGTGAATCGTCCCTTTGTCTAGCATATTCATGCTGTATATGCTACCTGCCTGTTAGCCAACTAGTAGTCATCTTGGTTATCAGATCTACTGTTTTGGCCTCACAGTGCTTGTGTTCACGTAGCTCTTATTTTACTTAGTAATGACCCCAAAGAGCAGTAATGCTGGCAGTTTGGATATGCCAAAGGGAAGCTGTAAAGTGCTTTCTTTACATGAAAAGATGAAAGTTTTTGACTTAATAAGGAAAGAAAAAAAATCATATGCTAAAGTTGCTTAGACCTATGGTAAGAATGAATCTTCTATCCAAGTTTTGCTGTTGCACATCAGAGTGCCAAAGTTATGGCCACAGTGCATGATACATGCTTACTTAAGATGGAAAAGGCATTAAATTTATGGGTGGAAGACATGAACAAAAATATGTTTCAGTTGATGATAGTCAGGTTCAGTACTATCCAGAGTTTCAGGCATTCACTGGGGGTCTTGGAACATATCCCCTGCAGATAAAGAGGAGCTATTGTAGTATTTCTTACCTAAGTTCTAGACGCTGTGGTACATAGGGATGGACATGCCTCTTTTTTTGGTAACCCTTCAGTGTGAGGAGTTGCATCAGTTTATTCAGTAATGCAGCAGGGCTTGGATTTGATGTTGCTATGGTTACCCTCAATACACCACCAGCTTCAAATTCCTCCAGTGTTACCTTGCATGTAGAGGATTTGCCTCAGTGTTTACTCCACCTTCTGCTTTAGCTCTTCCCATTGTACATGCACCTCAGAGAAGGTCCTCTCCATGATCTTGTCTAATTCCCAGCAGTACAGAGCTCTTACTTATGATTACCTTGCTTGCCAGCCTGGTTGGAGGTGACATTCTTTGATGTCCTTGTTCAGCCTCAGTCTTAGGAAGGCCTCAGGTGGTACCTTCTTTGTTGTTCTGTCCATTCTCCAGGGGTAGGGAATGTCTTATGGCCTAAGTCCGGGATGCTCTTCTCCCTTCCCTACCCCCAATGTTAATGAGTCTTCACTTGTACCTTGAGGATGACAGAGTTTCATGCCTTTCCCCAGCTTCTTATGCTTTTGGTCCATTAGGGAAACAGGGAAAAGCATTCTGGACATGCTTTGTGCCATTCCTGTGAATGCTGTTTTTCCCCTTCCCAAGCTTGCCCCACGAAGGAGGATTTCTCAAGTTCCTCACCCTGTCTCCAGCTTTTCTCCTGAGCCTCTGATGAGGTCCTCACATGCATTATCTTTTCATTGTTTGTTTTTAAACCTTTCTTGTCTTCATTAATAAATGTACACATGCCTTTGTCCTATGTCAATAAGTCGATTTTGAACTGTCTGCTTTGTTTCTTGCAGAATTTGATATAATTATAAATTGCTATAATTATGTACTTTTGAGTTTTACTTTTATTTTCTTAGGTTTATAAACTAATTTTTACCTCATTCTATTGTTTTCTTATCTCCTTGTGAACTCTTACTTAAAATAATTTATTTTTTTTTCTTTTGACAGATGTTGCGTACACAGTGAATTTTCCTTTTTAAGCTTATCTTCCATTTTAGAATAGATTTTAAAAATTATTCTGCATGCTATATTATATTATATTATTATTTTTTCTGTTTCATGTTTTATTGCATTTTGTTACGAACATGTATAGTTTTTTCTATCTCTTCGATTTTGTTGATTGAGCAGGAATGAATTCTTCTTGATTTCCATTTTTATTTGGATCTCATTATCTTCCCCTGTAAACTATATTTTGGAGGGCTGCATTTTTTATTTTGCCTGAGGACAATGATAAGTGTGCTGAAGGGGTAGGGACTGAGGAGCAGGATACTCAAAGGGCATGGTGTGGCTGAAATGTTAAGCAGATATCATAGATGCCCTTACTCAATATCAATCAGACCCTTCTCCTAGTGTACCTTCCTATATGGCACAGGCAGAAAAATGAAAAATTACATTTTCAAGACTTCTTATTTCAAGAAGCTTATTTGGGCTTCACTAATCATATGCACTTAGCCAAGATGTAAATATTTAGAGAGACATCCATTTTGTTGCTATACATCACAGCAGGCTTGGCGTTCCTGGTCCTCATTATAGGTAAGGTGATGTGTTATTAGAGCCAACAGTTGTGGTAGTGACTTTCTCATTTCTCCATTGTTGCTCAAGTGGTGTCATCCAGGAGCCAGTGGCTAGAAAAAATGATCTCCAACTTCCTCAGTTTCCTAATTGTAGTAGAGACAGAACTTTTCTTGGCAGACCATTGTGCAGTGTTCTTGGATCATAATGAGAGAGGCATCTGCTCTTCAAGCCCACCCAATGGTGATACAAGCACCAAATAGCTAGATCAAATCCCTTTCTGTAAACTGGCTGAAATGATTCCCGTGATCTACAGCTGAAACCTCACCTTTCTTGGACCAGGCTACAAGAAAAAGAGACCAAGTTCAGAATGATGTTAATGATAAAGATATGTATTTTCTACCATAATGGAAGTCCAGAGATAGGAAGGATTCCAGGTTCCGTATGATCAGTTGCTAATGTCACCAAGAACATAGGTTCTTTATGTTTTTCACATTTGCTATACTCCTTCCTTTTGTGGCCATAAGAGGGCAGACTATGATAATTAGGTCCTTAATGCTTCTTTGTTTATGTCTGTACAGAGGGATGAAGGTAGAAGAGAGGTTTGCTTCTCTTTTTTACAAGACCAGCCTGTTTCTGTGGGTGGCACAAATCACCTACCCATTTCTGAATTATTCACTGGAAGGATCTTACTGTGGAATGATCACAAATGGCTTTAACTAACCAGAGGGGTAGAATCAGTGTTGGGGAGTCAACACCAGTGTTTGTTCCAGTCATTCTACATTTTCATTTTCTTTCCCTCTTCATTCTCTCAGCTTTTGTACTAGCAAAGATGGAACACAATGTGAAGGTCTAAAGGTTTTCCTGCTGGGGATCAAAGATGATCAAAATGGCTTCTACTCTGGTGGAAATTTTATCTCCCCTTCTAGCCTGCTTAGACCTCCTTTCATACTAAGGTTAGGGAAATTTGTGAGAAATTTTAGGATTTCTGTGCCTGTCTATCCCAACCAAGAACCCTCACTTCCAATTCTATAAACAGCCTCTGTATATAGTGGAGTTCCAAGACAAGATGTGCTTCCCAGGAATGTGCAGATTCTTAGAAATGTCCACCTCTTTCTTTTTCTGTATTGTTTTGTATGTATCTTTTTGCTGGTATTAACTTGATTATTGTTCACATTATTTGGCTTTGCAAAGAGATGATGAGAACTTGTTTTACTTGAACATCTTACCTCAAAATTTTGAAGCTTTTAAAATATTCTTTTACTGTTGACTTCTAGATTTATTGCATTTTGGCCAGTGGACCTATGTATAAAATTTCAGATATTTGGAACCTTGACTGTCAACATGACCTAAAAGATCATAATTTTAAAAATAAAAAGATTGCATATGTTATTAAATATTAATAGAATGTTCTCCCTAATTATTGGTTACAAGTGTCCATATGTATCCATTATTCAGTCTTATTAATTACATTGCATAGATTCTCTCCATCCTTGGTGTGTGTGCACGTGTGTGTATTCATGTTCAATATGTTTCAGAGTAATGAAACAGGACGTGAACTCTTCACATCCCCACATTTCAGACTCTAGGAACTTCCAAACACTTGGTCCCAGGGAAGGCAAAAGTTCTCTTTTTCCTAATCTAAGCCTTGTACGTTCTTGCTTTGGCATAACTGTCAATCCATATACCCAATTCACATTATAAAGCAGAACACTTCTCAATATACAGCATCTGTTATGTTTGTAGCACTAAACAGTTTTCTCCAAGGACAGTGGATTTTGTATAATTTCAAGGTGTAAATAGCCATGATTTTTTCCAAAGGAAGCCTCTTTCCAAGTAATGTACTCTTTATCTGTGGAAAAATAAACTTCTTTTTACCCTTAAATGGTTGTGCCTTTAAGAGAAACAGAAACAAAATCTCCCTTCACATATATACCAGTGACTTTATATGTGAATTTTTCTTTTCCTTAGATACACACAAAATTGTTTCTGAAGGGGAACTACATCAGTTGGCTCAGATTCGGCCATTAATATTCAATTTTCATGAGCAGACAGCCATCAAGGATTGTTTGAAAATGCTTGAGAAAAAAACAGGAGCATATGATATCATGCAGGAATTTATGGTAAATATTTTCTTAACAAAAGTCTATATGTGATTTCTTTTTCTATATCATTGCCAGAGGGTTTCTTTTCTTTTCTTTCTTTATTTGGTTTTAGTACATTATTTTTACTTTTAAATATTATATATATTTTAAAGTAATAGATGTACATGGTTAGAAAAAAAAAAAAGCCAAATAACATAAAAGGATATAAAATAGAAAGTCTCTCTCTTTCTTTCAAGACTTTCTAGGATGCCTTTACACTATTCATTTTGTCATTTTGTCATGCACACTTTTTAAAAAATTTGTTGGAATGCACTTTACATCCTTAAATTTATTTTCCACCTAGATACAATTTCCAAATATATTATCAGCATGTATAGCAGTATCTCATTTTTTTAAGTGTTGCATAGTAATTATATGGTAATTAATTTTCAAAATTGAGATACTTATAATATTTAATTTCTGAAATTAAGGTTCTTATCCATATAATTAACTACCATGCAACACTTGGACATTTAGGTTGTTCTAGTCTTTGCTATTATGAACAGCAGTCATCTCTCTTCATATACTGTATGCATATATTTAAATATTTTTAGAACAAATTCCTAGAAAGACAATATTAATATCTTGGGCTATCAATTTTTTGGATCTTTTCTCGTCTCTTAAATGACAAATTGTTTCTTATTGATTATATAATTGGTATTTCTTTATTTGAGAACAAAAGAATATCTTTCCATATGTTTTTAAGCCTTTTATATTTTCAGAGAACTGCTAGTTTCAATTCTTTGCCCCATTTTCTATTTTTTTTTTTTCTTATTGGTTACTAACTCTTTTTTTTTTTTTTTTTGAGATGAAGTCTCGCTCTTGTCCCCCAGGCTGGAGTGCAATGGTGTGATCTCAGCTCACTGCAACCTCTGCCTCCCACGTTCAAGCAATTCTCCTGCCTCAGCCTCCTGAGTAGATAAGATTACAGGTGCCTGCCACCACACCCGGCTAATTTTTGTATTTTTAATAGAGACGGGGTTTCACCATGTTGGCCGGCTGGCGTCAAACTCCTGACCTAAGGTGATCCGCCCTTTGGGATTACAGGAGTGAGTCACCGCACCTGGCCGATTACTAACTCTTTAAGGAAAAAATTGTGCCTTTTTGTGTCTTACATGTAGTATTTTTTCTGCTGTTGTTTGTGTTACACACAGGTTCACATGCACTTGCACACACATGCCTGTTTACCATGAAGAAATAGCTGATTTTTAGTGGTCAAATATGGCAATCTTTTCTTTTGGGGCTTCTGGGTTTGGGGCTTTTGGTGCTCTTTAGGAATGCTTCTTTTACTCTAGGATTGTAATAATTACTTCATGTTTTTTTCTAGTACTTTTATGATTTTTTTAAGCATTTAACTCTTTGATGCAGCTAGAATTTAATTTGGTATAAGATGTTTGATAGGGACTCAGCATTATATAGCTATCCAGTTGTCCCAAGACTCTCCTGGAACTTCCCTTGAGTGATGCAAAATGCCACTTTTATCATATACTAGAGCTTTACATATATTTTAATTTATTCTTGGACTTTTTCTACTGATTTTCTTATTCCTTTATTGGTATTACTCTGTTAATTAGCAGAGCTTCATATTATCTTTTAACATCTAATGAGACTCATCTGCCATCATTATTCATTTATGAAATTTTTTTCTCATTCTTCCTACAGATTTTTTTCCAGATTAATTTTAGAATTGTTAATTCTAAAAATTAATTAATTTCATTAATTAATTTTAGAAAGACTTGATCATTTTATCATACTACTTAAAACCTTCACAGGCTCCTTCTTCCCCATGGTTGCTATGTTGGCTACACAAGAGTTACCCAAGAGCTTTGAAAATGTATAGATTCTCAGGCTTTCTCCACAAATATTCTAATAGATTTTGACTAGCTACTTCCTAATTTCATTTATATACGAAACAAGATCGTTTGTAGTTTTAGTCTGTTGTTGGACTAGATCATGTGCTCTGTGCTCTTATTACCATATTAGTCACAGTTTCCCAAAGGGATGCTTATGCCTCCATTATTTCCACCCCTTCACCTTCTCTCCTCTTTCCTTCTATGTACACACTGTTTTTCATATGCTAACTTCCAATGACTTACTAAGGCCCAGTTCAAGGGCTACTTCATCTTTAGGAGCTTTTCTTCTTGACTTTTAGGTGCAATCTAGTACTGTCATTTATACTAGTGTCTCCGTACATTGGTCACATGGTATTTGATTACATGTCCTCTAACTACTCTGTTCACTCCTTAAGGATGAGGCCATTATCCAATTCATCTCTGTATTCCAGTGTCTGAAACAGGGCCAGGTACCTACTAAATGCTTAATAAGTGTTTGTTGAATTCACACTTGGTAAAGAAATTTTTTGAAAGGAAGGATTCTTAGGGTCCTAACTATAATTTCTTCAAAGGGGAAGGGTAAATTGTGAGACTGTTTGTATATATTTTTTGTTTACATGTTTCTGTTATTGTTATTTTGTTATTTTTATTTATAAAATGATAGATCTGTGGGTAGGTTGGGAGAAGTGATTAGCCTGTATTTCCTTTTTTATGAAAGAAGAACAAAATGAAGTTCAAATGGGAAGTATCTCCAGAAAGTTTAACATTTTCTTATTAAGCAGCTCATTGATTGGCATCTAAACTTGAGATATTTTATATAGTACTTTTAAAATGGGGATCTAACTTAACACAAAACATTAAATAGCAGGTCATGTCAGATGGGGTTTAAGGATCATGAGCACTAAACAAAGGCAGATTTTTTTCTTGTTTATTGGTTATAGTAAATACACAATTTATTATTTATTTATTTTTTTAACCTTTTAAAGGCTTTGGAACTGAAGAATCTGCCTGGTGAGTTCAAATCTGGGAATCAACCAAACAACAGAGAAAAAAATAGATACCGAGATATTCTTCCATGTAAGCTAAAAATGGTTTTGATTATTTTCCTGTTTACATTTAGCAAAAGTGAAAAGGGCACTGTATGGCTTTTTGTATGAGACATTTTGGCCTGTGACCAGGATGAAGAGTTCTGGCACATAGCACTGGGCGACCTGGGCAGATTCTAAGATATGTGCTGCATAGGAGAGAGTCAGTTCCTCTCTTTCTGGTACATCCTTCAGCCACTGTCACAGGGTCCTTTACAGCAGTCCTTCAGCCTTGTTCTCATATATTGCTGCTTCTCAGGGCATGAGCCTTCCAAAACAAAATCCAATAGTCTGAGTCATACTATTGGATTTGGTACCCAAAGCCTTAACCACCTTCTCTGGCTATTTTGTTTAGACACACAAAAAAGCTATTTGCATCCTTCATCCTGGACAATAAAGCTATGAATCTCCTCTCCAACAGGAAGCTGCCTTTTGGTTGTCTCCACAGGGCCTTAACATTGCTTCCCAGTGTTGATGGGAGGGTAGTGGCACTTCTGTCCTCCCCACTTAGTTACTCTTAGGAGTTATCCATCTCAGGCCATTCAAAGAGCAGAATCAAAACACAACAATGCAATTTTAATCTTAGGCAGGAAATCTCATTCCATAACTCACATTCCTTTCAGAGTCAAGGTTTTTCAAAACTAAATTTACTATTTTACTTCCTCCAACTTAATCCTCTTCTTATATTTCACATCTTACGTAATCACCAAGTTCAAACCAGAAAACAGGGAGTCAGTTGATTGTAATACTTCCAGGGTCCTACCCCATCTCTCAGTTCCCATGGCTGCTGACTTAGTCTGAGCCCATTTTAACTCTCAGCTGGTTTACTGCCTCACTTTCTGATCATTCACAAAAGCTACTGAGATTTCCTTAAAATGCAAGTCAGAACATGTAGCTTTTCTTTTAAAGCTCTTTCTTGGCTCTTTGTTACTGTCATGGTGCAGTTGTTTAACATGGCATATGAATTTCACCTGTTTGCTTCTCTAGCCTTAGCTCTCCCACAGAACTTCTTTTGCTATCTAGAATTAATAATTCTTTTTTTGTTCGTTGGTTGTTATGCCTCTAAACTGCAGTTCTTGAAAGAACTACTCATCCCTTCTTTGCTGAGGCAGTTCCTGCTGTCTTACTTAAGCAGCTCCAACAGTCTTTTCTTATTTTCCTCAAAGGTAGGTTTGGTGTTTTTCCAATAGTTTCTTAGCATCTTGTAACCACTCACCCCTTCTACCAAACCATATTTTAATTTATTTTCATTTTTGTTTCTCCTACTAGACTTGAGATAGTTATTATAAAAACCAGAGTGGAATGCAGTGATTGCTGTCATTAGATAAATACCTCATGTTTAGTGGGTTTATTAAAATTGAAAATAACTTTATGATTATAAAATACAGTAAATACATTTCCAACATGGTTAAAATAATCTATTTTGTATCTTCTGTGGGGAGAGTGTGGAGAAGTACATTGATGAATACTTCTGAAATCAGAGTAATGAACCATGATTAAACATTTTAATAAATAATGCTAATAATTTGTTGCTTCTCCAAAATGTCAAAGGTCCAAATTTCATAATTTCTATTCCTGCATGTGCAGTTTGCCCTCAAGGAGACTAAAAGCAAACATGCCTTAATAATTAGCCTCTCAGGATTGTAAGAAGCTCATTTTACAATAGAGGGTACACATAATATTTTATCTGACTTGAAGTTTTTATTCTGGATATCAAAAGAGTTACAACTAAGAAATTCAAAGATAATAAAAAATAAAGTTAAACCATTAAAGTAAGGAAAGTTATGTGAAACTTTCTGCTTTTCATAAAAGAAAAGAAACTGTAATTCAACCATATTCTACCTAAAGGCCCATTGGTGTATCTACCTCATAACACAGTGTAATCTAATCTGAAACTCAGCCAACTTAAGTGGCCATCACAAAAAACTCTTTGGTTTTTTAAAATCACACATTTCTTGGCTTTATAGAAAAGGTTCCTGAAGATTCACATCAAGAAAGCTAGAGAAGTAATTTGTGTGTCGTCTTCAAATGCTGAGAACACTAAATGGATGAATTCACACACCTTTGAACACTACAAATACAGGCAGCCTTCACTTTGCATGGCCTCAATATGCTCAAATATCGGTTACTGTGTTTAACTAAATAACACCAGTCCCACAACAATACAATTCACATTTTAGTTACTACAATATATTCACTGCAAGTAATTGCCTAAAGCAATAAGCATCTTTGCTAGCACTTTAGTCCACAAGTCCCTATGTAAATAACAGATGTGCATCATGACCAGTGACTAATAAATGTTACTTCTTTCAACATATGTCAGTGATAGGTAACTGTGAGCCTGTTATTCAGTTCACACACAGCAAAGCATCTGATTGTGTTGTCTTCTCGTCTCTCAATGGTAAACCCCTATGACCTTTTATCAAAATGTATAATCGAGAGAGAGATTTGGCTGAGAGACATGAAACTACAGTAAAGAAACAAAAAGTGATAATGTTGGGAATGAAATTTGAGTGGAGTTATAGAAGAACTAGCTGACCAGGGACATGCTGACACTGCTATTGCTCAAGAGACTCTAGAGTTGCAGCCTAAGGCACCTGTGGAAGGGGAACTCACCGACATGAATGACCAAAGTGGTTGTGAGGAAAAAGATAAAGGCAACCTAGGGGAGGCAATGATGGCAAAAACTTGACATTAAAGAAAGAAACTTTGGAGCTATTTCACAACAATATAAGTGCCAAGGATAAAAGGTAGAAACTGATCCAGACTTAGAAGTTAGCCTAGACATAGAAAAAATGCTCACTCTGTATTGTAAGTTATACAACAAAAAGAAGAGGCAGACACTGTTCAAACTACTCTTGGTAAGTTTTTTTTTTAAACAAATTAAATGCTTTAATTCCCAATATTTCTAATGTTTTAAATTACAATGTTCTAAATACATGTTAGTCTTGCTATTTTTTGCTTCTCTATATATGTATAGCCAGCAATAAGTAAGTTTTTAATGATTTCACAAAAAAATTTAAGAGTCATGAAACAAGAATAGTATTTCCTATTGATTATTAAGATTCTTTTGCATGGTTTCAACTTGCATGGTCATATTTATGGCCCCGTACCATCATGCCAAGCAAGAATGGCCTTTATTTTGTAGTATAGGAATTTTTAGGTATAAAGACAATATCTTCCATTTCTTTACCATTTCACAACTTACAAAGCATTTTGAAGACTAATAAAAGAGCAAGTCACACAGGTTCTCCGACTCTTGGCCTAATACTTTTTCTGTTACTTGTCTGTCTCTCAGGGATCTACTCAGAACTAATAAAGGTAATGACTTAGGTTTCTGTTAGCTTCTCACTTTTCAGAGCATGTTTACGAATTTCTCATTGAGTGCTCTGTATGCTCATGTGAGAAGAACAGGGAAGATGATAATATCTAAATTTAATGCAAGACAATAAGGAAGGGATAATCTTTCAGCAAATCGTCTGGAGAGTTGCATATTCATATACCAAAAATGAACTTTGATTCTTACCTCAAAACTTACATAAAAATTAACTCAAAGTAGATTATAGACCTATCATTAGAGTTAAAAACATAAAACTTCTGAAAGAAACCCTAGGAGAAGATGTTACTGCTCTTGGGTTTGGCAAATTTTTCCTAAATAGGACACAAAACCCTCAAATTGTAAAAGAAAAAAAATAAATTGGACTTCATCAAATAAGAAAAAATCCCTGCTCTTCAAAGCATATTATTATAAAACCAAAAAGGAAAGCAACAGGCTGGAAGAAAAATACATGCAAAACATTTATCTCACAAAAACTTATATTCATAATCTATAATTACTACAAATCAAGAAGAAGACAAAGAACCCAACACTAAATGAGCAAAAGATTTGAGCAGACACTTCTCAAGGAAGATCTATGGATGGCAAATAAATGCATGAAATGATATTCACCATTATAAATCATTAGGAAAATGCAAATTAAAACCATAATGTGATACCATTTTATGCTCACTACAATGAAATGGAGTTTGTTTCTAATAAAGTTAAACATATACCTACCATATGATTCAGCAGTTCTATTCATATGTTTTACCTAAGAGAAAGTAAAGCATATGTCTGCATAAAGACTTATATATTAATGTTATCAGCTTTACTTGTAATAGCCAAAAACTGGAAACAGTGCAAATGCCCATCAACAGGAGAGTTGGATAAACAAATTGTGGTATGTCTACATAATAGAATGCAACCAGGCAATAAAAAATGACTAACAATGCATTGAACAACATGAATGAATCTTAAAATAATTTTACTCAGTGGAATAAGCCAGTCAAAAAGAGTATATACTGTATGTTATGAACCAAATTAAATTCTCCCAAAATTCATATGTTGAAGTTCCAACCCTTCGTACCTCAGATGTGACCTAATTTGGAGATAGGACCTTTAAAGTGCTAATTAAGATAAAATGAGGCTCTTAGAGTGTGCCCAATCCAATCCATCAGGTGTCCTTATATAAGAAGCAATTGGGACACACAAGAGACATCAGGGATCCAAAGGCACAGAGAAAAGTCCACGTGAAGACACAGCAAGAAGGCAGCCATTGGCAGGCCAAGGAGAGAGACCTCAGGAAAAAACAAGCCTGCTGCCACCTTGATCTTTGTCTTAGTTTGTTTTGTGTTGCTATAAAGGAATAATTTATAAAGGAAAGGGATTTATTTAGCTCATAGTTCTGCAGACTGGAAGGTTCAAGAGTGGGCATCTGGTGAGGGCTACAGGCTGCTTCCACTCATGGTGGGAAGTGAAGTGAAGCCAGCATATGCAGAGATCACATGGTGAAAGAGGAAGCAGGAGAGAAATGCGGAGGTGCCCGGCTCTTGCAGAACGAATAGAATGAGAGCTCACTCATGCCATTAATCTATTAATGAGGGATCTGCCCTTGTGACCCAAACACATCCCGTTAGGCTTCACTTCCAACATTGGGAATCAAGTTTCAGCAT